GTTTTCGAGTGGGCCAAATTGTCAGCGCCTTGTCTGAATGGCAGGCCATAACATCAGACCCCACAATTTTAGAATTTGTTACGGGAGTGAAAATAGAATTCACTCCAGGCTTAAGGCCAGAGCAAGACAATGTGCGGTCAAGCGTGTTTAATCGCATGCAGCATGCTATTGTTGCTAATGAAATTGAAACCCTTATCAATAAAGGAGTTGTCAAACACTCCAGGCATGAACCAGGAGAATTTATTTCCCCGATATTTCTCCGACCTAAACCTGATGGCACTTACTGGATGATACTCAATTTACGAGCTTTCAATGAATTTGTTCAGTACCACCATTTTAAAATGGATACCTTAGAAATGGCAGTGAAAATGATGAAGCCTGGATGCTTCATTGCCTCAATTGATCTAAAAGATGCCTATTACACAGTACCCATTTTTTATGCACACCAAAAATACATGAAATTTATATTTAATGGTACACTTTACGAGTATACATGCATGGCAAATGGACTCAGTTGTGCACCACGAGTTTTTACTAAACTCCTTAAACCAGTTTATGCCACACTGCACAACCTAGGGTATCTGAGCCTAGGCTACATTGATGATTCTTACTTACAAGGTGACACATCATCTGCGTGCCTTGAAAATATTAAAGTCACAGCTTCGCTATTTAAGAAAGTAGGGTTTCACTTACATCCTACCAAATCAGTTATAATCCCTACTCAGCGACTTACATTTCTGGGGTTTGTCCTTGATTCAAATGATATGACACTAACTCCTACTGAAAGCAAAATCCAGAAAGTAGTTACAGCTTGTCAACATTTACTTACTAAACACAATCCTACGATAACAGAAGTTGCCGAAGTGACAGGGCTCATAGTATCCAATTTCCCTGGGGCCCAATATGGGTCACTACATCACCGTTCACTGGAGTCTGACAAAATCCAAGCACTGAAAATTAACAAAGGGAACTACAAATCCCATATGCAACTAATGAGTAACTCCATAGCTGAGCTGAAATGGTGGATTGCAAATATGCCTACTGTACAACGAGATATTGTACGACCCAATTCCAGCATGGTTCCCACCCCTTTGGCTCCCATCAACTAGTTACCCGGTTCTTAAAGGGAATATACGAGACACGGAAACCACAACCCAAATACAAAACAATCTGGGATGTTGCTACAGTAATTAAATACCTCAAGTCTCTATGGCCATTAGAACAGCTCTCTTTAAAGGATTTAACGATAAAACTACTTATACTACTCTTGCTCGCTACGGGGCAACGAGTACAATCCATCCACCTGTTGAACCTGGACGGCATGAACATGTCATCTCAGTCGTGTAGTTTTAAACTCTTAGACCATATTAAGACCAGTAAACACAATAAGAGGGAAAGTAGCATTGATATAGGCAGTTATCGGCCCGATAATACTCTCTGTCCTCTCCTGACACTTAAAGAGTACCTCAAGAAAACAGAGCCTCTGAGAGACACAGAAAGGAAACTGTTTATCAGCTTCATACAGCCACATAAAGGAGTCTCCAGGGACACTATTTCTAGGTGGACTAAATCCGGACGTAAATCAGCAGGATTGATATCAGCCAATTTACAGCCCACAGTACCAGAGCAGCTTCCTCATCCAAAGCGGAAGAGAGAGATGTCCTGTCGGACGTTATACTAGCTACTGCTGGATGGGGTTTGGCACCTACCTTTCACAAGTTCTACCACAAACCAATAGTCCAACAACCTAATTTTGCTGAAACGGTCCTTCAATTATAAGTACATTTGCCTTAATAAACAATTGTAACCGGTTGCAGAGAGTGAAACATTACTCAAGTTAAAAACACTTGCAGCCTTATGTTGTACTGTTTACGCCAGTGTCATTTATTGACCATTATGGGCTAAATGTGACAAGACTTTTTAGATTGATTTGTTAGGTTGAATAAAACCTCGATTATGCTGTTGTTATATAGGTCCATGTATGGCTATATTGTGTTTGGTGTGGTTGTGTTACAGCTTCAAATCTGGAAACAAAGATGATCTGGACAATTACAGGCCTATATCAATTTTACCGATCTTGTCGAAAAAAAAAAAAAAAAAAAAAAAAAGATAAAGTCTCATAGGATCTCCTAGCCCCCGGTCATGTGATGGAATTGGAAAATTAAACGAGACTTACCTGTAAGTTGAAGTTTGATTGAGATTCTATCACCTGACCAAGGGGGCAGGAGATCACATGCCCACCCATGCCCACCCATTGCGCATGCGCCGTGCTATCTCCTGCAACCATAAAATGAGCTTGACTCGTGCTCGGCCACATAACGAAAAGTCCTTTTGAAATTTGTCAAATCTTCATCAAAGGATATGTTTTTCGTAATGACAGCTATCATCTGCAAGCGAAAAACAAAAAAATATAGAGTGCCAAAAACTTTTTCTTTTAACATAAGTTTCTAATTCCCGAAGATATAATTTTAAAATTAGCGCGAGGACGTTCTTACAATGTAATTTTTTGCCAATTTGTTCGGCCAATTTATTCGGCCATATCTGGCGACTGCAGTAAGTTGTGATTAACATTTTACCGTACTAATTCTCTTTCGACAGGTAAATCAATTTTGAATATTACATATTTGAAGGTTTATAGACTTGGAATTTCCCGCTGTGATTTCAGGTAGATAGACATACTTTATTAAACTTCTAGCAGTTGGAGTTTGTTAAGCCTCCAGCTTAAACAGTTGATGAGTTTACTTATAGAGACTCTAAGATCTAACCACAAAAATATTTTCTCATATTAAACTTGATGTATAAGATACTAAAACATTGTATCACTTACAGACAGTTTGTGTCGCTTTAAAAAAATTTACAAAGGGGGTTTAACAGGGAACTTGCTTAATGCGTCGCGTAACGGCGCCAGTTTCTCGAGACTCACAAGTTTCATGGGAATAGGATAATTACATTAAACTTCACGCTAAGTATTTTCACTTTTACTGTAAAGCTATTAAATAAGTAAAAGAATAATCTTTTTGGTATACAGTATTCTAAGCTGAAAGCACCAATATCAGCTAACATTTGCAATCGCGTGCTCATTTATCGTAAACAAACTCCGTGCCATGTCGACTGAGTCGAATATTTCCACTGATGAAGAAAAATAGACGACATTTATATTGCCATTACTTGCTTCACAGTTTTTGCTTGGCTTCAGGGTACAGTTCCGTCAATTGTAAAAAAAAATTCGACATTGGCTGGATACACAGTGAACTAATTGATGCCACTCGAAAATGGCATTCAACTTCAAACTTGCTTATTTCGATGACATTAATTTACCATATTTTACCAACAAATTCCAACATCATGTGATATCTTCATATCGTACTTCCATCATCTTACTAAATGGGGCAGCACTTCACTTGCAATATGGAACCCCTAGTATAATATACGTACTTGACGCATTTTGAATGACTTGTGGTCACGAGATGAGCGCATGACTAAAAACGCCGTGATCAATATGAACAAAATAACAGCTTCAGGCCGGGACAAAGGTCTTAAATCATACTTTAGGAATGGCCCACTACACTGAGAGGATTTAGTATGTATCCTCCATGGGCAAGCACGCGCTCAAAGAATTAATTGCATGACATACGCCCTTTGAAAAAGCATCAGGTTTGATTAATTTCTCGTTCAGGTTTCCCAGATTGTACGTACTGTAGTTACTTCCGAGTATATTTCTTCCCACCCATTTCTGTTTTGAAACACTTCTTATTTACGTGTGCATAAAAGTCTTGATCAATTCGATACTCCAAAGTCTTCACTGGGGCTCACAGCCTTGTTCTGAAAAGTTAAACTAAGCGAGTGAAAAGATTTTTATCTCCTCATATTCCTAATAATAAATGACTCTGTTATCACGAATTAAGCACGAAACGGGAAAAATAAGGGTCAACTCAGCATCTAGAGTTTCCTTTTAGTAAATTTAGGATCCTGTGACAAGGAAAGTTGATGTACCTTCCCGTTATTTTCCAATGTTTAAATTTACAATCAGGAGCACAAAAGAAAGTCTGATTTACGTTCAGATTACCCTGTTTGACGTTGTTTGGAGCTTTCCTTGAGAGAATGTTGCTCATTTTTCCGGCACTGGCTCCACTCTGGCGTAAACAGTGACGCATTGTTTCACGCTGCTTTCTATCGGTTCACACCCTTGTAGCTAGAAGAAGTCAAATCTCATTTCCCCAGAAAACAGCAATACAAAATTAAAAATGTTCGTCAGACGAAACGAGTGAACGATCACCAGAGGAAAAATGTTGTTAAAAGTGAAAACTTTTCTCCCAGTGGCTACGATAACAAGGCGGATCTTTAAAGAGGGTGAAACGTTTGCGCTCCCAAACACTGCTTTTTCTACGGGGGAAGCAAATCATAGTAATGAGGCTTTTGCCAAACACTCTGCGACAAAATTAAGTTGCACAAGAGCAGAAATATAGAAGTTTGCCGACTGCTGCAAATTGCAACTAGCAATTTACTGAACTCATTCTCCTTTGACAGGCAAGTCAATTTTGAATATGAGATTTTTTAGAATTTAAAGACTTAGAATTTGCTGTTTCGATCCCAGGTAGATAGACATGTAGATAGATACTTCATTTCATTTCGAACAAATAAGGCTTGTCAAGCCTCCAGCTTGAACATCTATTGAGTCGACTTACAAAAACTTAAAAATCTAACTAAAACAAAGCGTATGAAACCACTTGAATTTACATCGTTAATAACACTGACTGATCAAATCAATACTTACTTTCAATTAAATACATAAAAATAACTGGATCACGTAGAGACACAGTTTGTTAAATGCGACACATTCATTATCATACTTGCATTGGTTCAACACGAGTTCTAAAATTATTTTGATAAATTTACAAGGGGAGTTTAACAGGTAACCACATACTTACAATTGGCTCTAAGTCCCAAGAACTCTCACTCGTTTGGTTTTGCTACGCAGTGTTCTGAACACAAGTTGCACCTTGAATCGACTGGCACGTGAAAGTAATAATGCGCTAATATAGCGTTATTTATTACACTTAACACGAGAATTTTATACCGTAAAGCTCATTTGTAGAAATCTATACGCTTTATTTTCACATGTGAAAAATACCTATACAGCCAATCAGAATGGCGTACAGCTCTTTCACGTGTCGAAGTATAACCAATCAACGATAGCGTAAAGGCCTTTCCGAGCCAATCACAATCGTACATCGTTTACATTCAAATAGCTTTCCAGATTTGGCGGGTTTTTAGCGGCGCCTCCTCCAAATTTTTCCTGCGAAAATGGCGAAGGCGGAGGAAAGCTCTAGATTTGTGTCGGTTGGTTGCTCACTAGAGGAGTTTGTACAGCATCAAGAAAACAAGAACACATTAAGCAAAACACACAGAGATGTCTCGTTGCTCAAAAAAATTTTTAGTTTCAAGGAACGAGCTGAGAGATATTGATGCAAAAGATCTCGACGTATTAATCGCCAATTTTCTACTTCAAGTTCGAACGAAAGACGGAGAACAATACGAACCCACATCGCTCAGGTCTTTTGTTTCAAGCTTCGATCGTTATTTAAGAAAGAAAGACTATTCCTCAACTATTATGGAAGGAAAGGAGTTCCGAAAGACTAAAGAAGCGCTAGTCGCAAAACAAAAGGAACTAAAGAAAGAAGGGAAAGGAAATAAACCAAACGCTACGCGTATGCTAACAGACGAAGAAGTTGATATTCTGTATGGCCAAGATTTACTCGGTTGCTCTTCATCAGAGGCTCTTATTAACACTATATGGTTAAACAACACACAGTTCTTTGGATTGAGGGGTTGTCAAGAGCACAGGGACATGAGATGTGGCGATGTTGAAAGAAAAGAAACAGCGGACGGAACAGCATTTCTAGAGTATAACGAAAGACAGACGAAGACACGAACAGGCGCTAATCCAAAAGACTCTCGTACTGTAAAGCCAAAAATGTTTGCTGTCGTTGGCAGTGAAAGAGATCCTGTCCGGGCTTATGACCTCTATGCTTCTAAAAGACCAGCTGAGCTGAAGACTCCGGATAGTACGTTTTATTTAGCAATCAATCACACTACAAAAGCCGTTAACACAAAACCTTGATTCACGTCAGCTCCCATGGGAGTTAACAAAATCAAATCACTTATGAAAACAACGGCAGAAAAAGCTGGATTAGATGCTAAAAATCTCACCAATCATAGCGGAAGGAAAAGGATGATCCAGAAACTGAATGATGAAGGAGTACCGCCAACGCACATCATGCAAATATCTGGGCACAAGAACGTACAGCACTCTTGTAAGTCTGAACAACTACAGCACTCTGTCGGAGCGGCAACAAAAAAATATTTCCAACATTCTGAGTGGATATCCCGGAGTGCCAGGGCCATCGGAATACCAAGTAGGTATTTCCAGTGCTTTGACTCTGAATGCAACTAAAACTATTACAGTACAGGAGTCGACAACACAGCAGCCCTTGGCTCTTTTCTAAGGTGCTTCAATTCAGGGAGGAACTTTTAACATTTCTGTAAATGCCTTGAAAGAAAGTCCCGCTTTGTCCTTGCATTCTCCAAGGTCCAAAAAAGCACGTCACTTTGTTATTGAATCTGACATTGACTAAATGAGACTTTATTCTATTTATTGATTTCGTACTTAGGTTAAAAAAAAAAACTTTTGTAAGACAGTTTTCCGTTCAGCACTTTATTCCTTGATGTACATGTACTGCGATATTTTCCATCGCTATTAAATTTGCATTGTTAGTTTTTGTTTTTAATTTGCGTTTAGAAAACTATTTCAATGAAAATTATCTTGTTATGTGTAATAAACAGCTCACGACATAGAAAGTGCGGCGTACGGGGTTTTATTCACTCGTTGTTTGTGTCAAAAGCCCTCACTCGCTCGTACCTCGCTCATTCGGGTTTTTGACACAAACAACTCGTGAATAAAACCCCGTACGCCGCACTTTCTAGACGTAAACTAAATATACTATACCTATATCCTTACTTGACGTGTCTTTAATGATTTGTAGTCACGAGATGACCGAGTGACCAACAAACAGCACGGAATGCAATATAAGATATAAAGATAACATTCTTTATTTAAGTGTCAACTCTATTTAGCCTTACCGGACTAATTGGGGACACTTAACAAGAGTCTTAAGTACTATGCATGCACAGGCGATGATATTTAACTACCATTTCTTAAGTTCTGGAGGAGTAACTGGAGGAAGCGAAATCCTTTCTGTTGTTTCAGTTGACGTCGGTTGTAATTCAATGTAATAAACTCAAAACGCCTAAATAGCACAAAAAGAAGTAGCTTGTGTTCCCCATCTTATAGTTGTTAGCTACTTAGCCATGTCTGCATCTTTAAGCTTAAGGGATCCAGTCACTGCAGTTTGAAGTCACAACCATAATGGTAAATAACACATAATTCACAAGCAGCTTAAAGAAACATCAATAATTTAAAGTTCCAGTGCACGTTAATGGGGAAGGTGGTCAGTGGTCTAGTTAATAATTTAAATCAAGTTGTTTAGGAGGGAATTGTTTAAGAGGGAATGTTTTGCATTCAGTTCAATATTCAAGTATAATTTCCAGCAAATTTT